TGGAGTAACTTTTGGACTTGCACCAGGTTTGTGTATCTAAATGTGAGAGGGAATTGGTGTGTTCTGGACAGGAGGCCCTTGGCTCGGCAGCTTGCTGACCTTTTGGCCTGCAGTAGGCTTTGTTTATTCAGGCTTTTCCCTGGTAAGCAATCTGGCTCTTCGGGGTTGTTTCTTTTGGAGTTACTTTTTTTGGGACGTTAATTGACTTTGGTTGCTTTCCTGTTTGATTGTTTTACATGAATGGTGCTTGTGATGTTGAGTTCATCCTGAGATTTGGAAACTCTCTCTCATAAAATTAAAACCAACATACAATATTTGGAAGTGTTACTTTCAATAAAATTTAGCTTGGGTGTTTTTGGTTATCTTACTCATATATGTTATATTGCACGTTCACAGAAAGCACAACAGAATTCATAAAGAACACCTTTGCAAGCAGATTGTAAAATTGAGATCAGAACCCTTTTTAAAGCATAAAAAATAATTGTTTTTATCAAAAAAATTTTCACCAGTGCGGCCTGTAAAGCATTCACATAGATGGTAAATGAAGTTGGCTGAAAGGAGGTTGGCAGTACAGTAATTGTGTAACTGAACTAACTAGTGATACGTTTGTACCTTTTGCTCACTGCTTCCTCTGCTCAAAGCGCTCTCCGGGAGGGGTGGGGAGTTAGACCCCTTGTTGCCGATCCAAACCGGAAACCGGGAGGTGCCAAATTCCATTTGTCTGAAAGTCTTCTGTGTTAATTTTCCTCTTGTAATCAGTGAAGCTGGAGAGAAAACTTCTGCTTTTCTGGGAAGTATATAAGCAAAAAATTTTGGATGTTACATTTAAAATGAATAGTGAACTTGATTTGCATATGCACTTATTTTCATGCAGTTTCTCTTTCCTCTATGCAAATGTGGCCATTTTTGGGGCAACTCGTGCAGATATCTGCTTGATTCTCCTTAGAAGTCCAAGCAGTTCGGACTAGTAGCAGTTCCCTAACTATAGCATTAGCTCCTTAAAGCGAGAGCATAAACAACGTGGTGAGCTTTTTCAGTACTGTTTTACAGCTTTCAACAGGATAGTGTTCAGTGTGGAGCTTGTTTTTGTACTATATATTAGTTCTATTTATGTTTAATAGCATATGAAGAATACTGTTTTGGTCTTGATTACATAAAGGAATAAAATTTCTTTTTGTGGCATGCTAACTTTTTTTTGATACTTTCTGCACTTGATTTCTGTAAATATTTCTTTTATCTGCAAAATGAAGTACAAGCTTAAGGTTTATATTTTGAACTGCTAACATGCTGTTCTTATATGACTAGAATCAAAAACTTCTTTTTTTTTTTTTTCCTCATATAGCAAGAGTTAGGTTGGCGTAAAGCTCCTATAGTTACAGTATAGAGCCCCTGCTTTTAGTCCATGCACCACAAGCAGTGACGGAACCGTAGCATTGGGGAAGGGAGAGGAGAGCGTGGGAACATTCTCTGCTTCGCTTTTTCAGGAAAAGGTGCAAAAGGAGGAATGTGTATTTTGTACGTAGTGTACGTAGCATCTCGTTATAGAAAGTGTAAGAGGTGGCATTACCCACATGCCTGGTGTGGAGAACTGTAGCTTTCCTCTGTCATTAAAAAAGTACCTCTTTAGATGCTGGAGATGCAAGCTGTCATCTTTAAGCTTTTGTGTTGATTTTACTGCAAGGGAATATTGAAGTTGAAGAATTGAATAAGTACCTGCAGGTTTGACTATGAAATTGCCTAGAAATAAAACACAATTATGTATCGTGTTTGTTTATAGCTGTAGAAAATATGAAAGCACCATTTTCTTTTTCTACTCATTGCATTTATGTTCTTTTAGCATGTAGCAGTTTTATGTATTGGCTAAATATCAGAATGTTTCAAATAATCAGTTCAGTGTCTCAGTTTGATCCTGAAAGGCTCAGCGCGTAATCAGAACCACCAAATTGTAGCACATCTCTAATATGCTTGTCTAATTCAGGGCAGTATAGCTTGAAAACCCTTTCTTCTTAGCTTTTGGCGATAATTAACATTTAGATGTTTCATGATCATTGCTTAAGTTCCTCTGCCATGTGAAAATCATGTCTACTTAGGGAAAATAATCACCAATTTACTTATACAATGCATATAAATTAACCAACTCTTTTGTTCCAGCTACATTTATATGCAATCAAGAAAACCAATTTAATCATACTTTCCACTGTAAAGCACCATAGCTGGTAAAGCAAGGAGAAAAGTATTTTCAGCTATGCATATGATATCAAGACCTCCAAGAAAATTCTGGTTTTAATGGGTTTATTGCATTTTGAGGCATTCAGTGTGAATATTGAGAGAAGTGTAAAACAGATAGGAAAGTAAGTAATGAGCTTAGAGCAGTTTAATAAGGGATGCTGAAATGCATATGGGAATTTTTGCTGTGTTTTATTGGTTTATCATGTTTTTAAAAGCAGGAATACAAAAGAATATTTGCTCTAGGTCTCAGAAGCAGAACCATCTGCAGCAATGACTTCCTGAAAAACTTGTGCCTCTGTTGTTTTAGTGGGTGTGAGACTATGTGGCTCTGTATGTTGTTTTGTCCTGCTACGTCTTGCCTGCTGCTTTATCTGTGGGATTTTGTATCATATGTTTGTGTCAAAAAACCTCTATGTGAACGAATGGATATCTTGTTTCTTCAGATAGGTGGAAATAAGAAGTTTTGGCTGAAGGTATAATCTTTATTCCCCAGCCACTTTGACAGTATTAATACAGGTTTCGTATCTCAAATATGATAGCTAAAGGGACATTTTGTTCTTGAATTAAAGGGCACCATCCTAATATATCTGGATTATTCTTTTAAGTGCTCAGGTAAAAAACCCTATGATGAATTACTGTTTGATGTTGGCCTTGCACGCCACAATTGCTGCAGTAAGGACAAGAACGTCCTTATTTGATCAAATTACGAAAAAAAAAGAGTGGCCTAAAGTGTAACAAATAGCTAGGACTAGATAAACTGATTGAACAAATTGTATTTCTCTACATTAACAATGTCAAGACATTATTAGAAGGAAAGCCTAATCAGTGTCTTTTGCAGTGTCAAGAAATAGAAGGTATTTCTGTCAAAGCGAGGAACGCTGTAGGAAGCTCCCTGTTCAGGACAGTAGCGTGGGGTTTCCCACCCTGACCGAGCTGGTGGGATAGGAGGTAACTCGGTCAGTGCAGTGCTGACCCTGGCACGGAAGAAAGGAAGGTGATTGAGGTGGGGTTAACTAACAAGCTATAAATTCATAGTGCATTTAAAATAGTCTTCTCACACAGGCATATATAAGTGTATATATATGTGTGTGTGTTTATATAAAACGTGTATATAAAGATAGGTAAATGAGCTCCTAGGATAACTGTGGCCGTCGTAGGGATGCATGACTCCAACCTGTAAACGTGATCATGAGATGCCAAGCCCTGTCCAGTTAAGAGCTGTGTTTGGCCAAGGGTAAGGGCTTAAAAATCTTCGTGCCCTTTTCCAGAAGCTGCAGTTCCTCCAGCCTGGGCCTTGAACATCTGCTGCCAACTGACCCCTTCTCGCTGCTCAGGCTCTGTTCACCTTCCTACAGATGTCTTCAAGAAAGCGCTCTTGGCTCTCCAGCTGCACCCGTTTGCTAGTAGGAGCAGGGCAGTGCTAAAAGCTGTATTTCCTCCCTACTTTCTTGTCTGGTGAGTGTGTCATTTAGGCCAATCTGTTAGGCAATTCTGCCTGATAGAATACCGTGTGTATGATAGATGCTGTCCGTCATCCTGAAATGGGACGTGTGTGTTACATTTTTCAGCTAATTTCAGTTAGGATATAGACAGATTTGTCTGCTCTTGTACTGAAAAAAAAATTAAGGCCTCTATCTGATGATTTAGTAAATCAGTAAAATGAATGGGAGCTCAGATTTCTGCAATAAATTGTGTTGTGTGAAAAAAGGTGTCATTGACTTAATTCTTAAACTATTTTAAAAGGATGAGGTTAGAAAATGTAATTAACTCCCCCTGAGCTCTGCATTAATAGCCTTCCACTGTTCTTAACTGTATAAGGGTTGCACTGGGGATTAACTCTAGTCTTAAGTTTGACAGTCTAGAATGGGAGAATTAGTAAGAAAATATTCAGCAGTGTTGAGTTTAGTGACAGAATGACGCCAGCTTGTAACTGCCTTTTAAACTGCCCGTGCAGCTCTCCCTGCCTTTTGATCTTGCGTATTGTTGACAACGTACGCCCAGAGAAGTATACCCAGACACTGCAGGAGTTAAAATCTTAAACCTTCTCATTGTTCCATAACACTTCAATTTTTATTTTATTTATTTTTTTTCCCTTCACAGGAAATGACCTAGAGGCCTTACAAGTACATTTGTGCATTTTTGTTCTGAGTCTACAATTGAGGGCAAATGCAGTCTGGAAGCACCACTTCTTAATGTTACAACGGAAACAACTACCTCAACAAACAAGGAAAGGAGGAAGGGGGAAGAAGGCTTGCAATAATAAACACTCTAATTTTTAATAGCTTATACTTGCAAAGTCTTCTATAAACAGAGTCCAGATTTTTTTTTTCCCTCCAGTATTAAGAAGAGACACTACAAGTAAACTAATTTGGCAGACTGGATCTGTCAAGACATTTGAAGATATTTGATCTGCTGACATAAGGATTTGCTTTTTCAAGGAAGGAGCCTCTGCACTGCTTTTATAATCGCTGTTGATCGGTGGTTTGCTCCACTTTTCCTGATATTACTGATGGGAAAATTGTATTAAGGTATTGCTTCTAAAACTATTATTTGCATTGGCAAAAATAACTTTTGTAGACTTAACAGCAAGTGACAATAATATGCTCATGAAGACATTGTAGGCGATAACTTCCCTGCTCCGGCGTTGCTTTTCTGTGTGCGGAGTGGAATACCAAACAAGAGACAGAGCATTATTAAGATACTTCGGCTTGCTTTTTGAGTACAGTTTATAACTGCAGCAGGGCTGCACTGAACACTGAAAATACGAAGTCAGCAAATCTGCTGCCTTTCTCACTGCTGATACAGATTATACAGACGCTTGCCTTTTTGAAATGCCTTTTGTGAAACCTATGTACACAGTCCTCCACTGTTACTGTACAAAACTATATATTTGAGGAAGGAATTTGACAAGTGATTGTTAATTCGAGAAATCTTTGGACAAGCACTCACTTATGTATTGCTGTAGTGCACAAGAAAGCAAAATGGACTATAAGCGGCGCTTTTTGCTTGGCGGGTCCAAGCAAAAAGTGCAGCAACACCAGCAGTATCAAATGCCTGAGCTAGGCAGGACCCTGAGCGCACCGCTGGCATCGACGACCCCCGCATCCCCTCTGGTCTCCTCAGCTGCTGCGGGCAGCTGCAACCACCCTGTGTCCCACACGACTCCGATCGCAGACATCCAGCAGGGAATCTCCAAATACCTGGATGCACTCAACGTGTTTTGCCGTACGAGCACTTTCCTTACAGACCTTTTCAGCAGTGTATTTAGGAACTCGCACTATTCTAAGGCAGCTATGCAACTGAAAGACGTGCAGGAACATGTCATGGAAGCAGCGAGTCGACTCACAGCAGCAATAAAACCAGAAATAGCAAAAATGCTGATGGAACTGAGTGCGGGAGCTGCAAACTTTAAAGATCAAAAAGAGTTCAGCCTACAAGACATTGAGGTAGGTTACCTTGGGGTTTACTGTTTTGCATGGGAATTTGTGTCGTTCTTTCTTAGTTGGAATTCTCTTCAAAATCACTTCTGCACCAAAAGTTCTCTGCCTTGCTTTGGATTTGTGGGCAACAATGCTGGTAAAAAGAGAAACTCTTCTATTCTTATGTTTTCTTCTTGAAAGTGTTAAGTCATTTGCAATGCCTGACTTCCAGCTATGTTGAATTCGGTTTTTAGTGGGTATTTCTGTATAAGATCTTGTTACCCTATTTAATGACTTCATGAAATAAGGAAGATGAGTTATAGTTAAATTGTACTACCTATATATTTCTACATGGTCATATTTTATATGATTTAAACTTACAACCATCAATCCAACAACCTCTTTCTTCTTTGGGGAAACCATGCTTAGTTTAAAAATAATTATAATGCAAAAGAAAACAAAAAAAAGAACACTCTGCTCTTCCAAACCAACTAAATTAAAGTTTTAAACAATTTTCTGGTTTATGTTAGCTAGCATTTCTAATGATATTAAGCCATCATAGTCTAAATTAACCTATACTTTCCTTAGTATTATCTGTTCTGAGGGGAAAACTGAACACTCAGGAGTGGCCTGTTGTCAGCGTTTGTGTAAACCTGCCTATTAGTCAACTTCTGAGTGAAATTTGTGTAAAATAACGCTTTATCACTCTTCAAAACACTTTTGTCTTTGTGAGCTGTTGTGCTTAAAGGGAAAATACCATGCGAGCATGAGAGATTTCTGCTGTAAAAATTTGTCATGACTTTGCTAGAATTTCCCCACCCTGGGACGAGCGCCCGACAGTCTGAGTTCAGCGGTTTTGAAGGTGAGAGGATGGCCAGCTCTCACCGGGCCTGGCTGGGTATGGCGGGGTATCCTCCTGCGCTGAACGCTGTGCTTAAGTAACAGGCGCTGTTAAGTGCTAGTCACATACGCATCCCTGGTGTTTTAAGTAGTTCCGTGTGTTTTGACGTATTTCTTTACTTTACAGC